CCTCTCTTCCAGAGGGAATATGTGAATAAAGTTCTTCAACGTTATACTTCTGGCCTGGATTTCAGCTCTGTGGGTCACTAGAAGAGGGTGGGTAATGCTAATGGGGCAGCAAGTTGCTATAATCCCTAGACAGGCTATTAATGACCCGGGTTATTCTGGCGGCTCGGGGGTGAGAGCTACAATCGTATCTCTTTAATTACTAAAAAAATTAGCAGAATAGATTAAGCAAAGCAGCAACTAATAAACGGGAATGCGAACAGCCGTAAAAAAAATGGCTGCATGATCATTACACCAGATGGGTTAAACATTTCCACCCCGATTGTTTACAATGAGAACTATTCTGTAGTAGAAGAGAGACTGATGCAATGTTCTGGTACTTTCCTAATTACCGTTCAACCACTACACATAGTTGGCTTCAATAATTCTTCTCTAATCAGTATTCTTGACAATATTGTATTATTGCTGCAGTGGAGGTCAAGTATGAGTCTGTCTGGCAGGAGTGCATGAATCACAAACATCTAATTTTGACAGATAAGACACTTCCAATGTGTGAATTTGAACTGGATTTAAATGCATACCTATAGGTAAGCTTTAAGCTACTATTGAATTATGTTTTCCTGGTACCACAATATGCATATACTGCACCTTCAGTTATATGAAGAACATGATTAAATCTGGCAAAGGACACAACAGAACAATACTATAATAGAGAAACCCACACATGCACCCTAGGTGAATATAGAGGTGCAATCATGGGATGTCATAATGTAATGGATCCCCGCTAACTGCACATGCGCCAGACGCGCGTTCGCGTACTATTCGCGGACAGCGTCATTTCGTGCATGCGCAGAAGCGGTCAACTACCAGCATGGAAACGCACCATAGTGGCGCACAGGAAGTGACTCATAACAAGCTATCACTTCCCCTATGTAAGCTCAGCCACAGCACAACCATGTTGCTGTATTATCGTCAGCTATTCCTTGTTCCTGTGATTTTGTTATACTTGCCTGATTCTTGTGACCCGGACTTCCTTGACTATCCTTGATTGCTGCCTGCCTTGACCCCGGAACTGTTTGTTTGACTACTCTTTTGCCTAACCCTTTTGTACCTTGATTGCCCTCTTGGATTTGACCTCGGCTCTCATCGGATTACGGCTTGCACGGTGCACAACACCACTGGCACTCCTGCCACTTGTTGTCCTTCTGGTCTCTGTTCCCATCCCCAGAGTCCCTCAGGACACAAGGTGCAAGGGAAGCCTCCTCTCACATCTGGTCTCCAATAAGGTACGTAACACATAATCTCATGGACATGTCTACTAAATATAATGACGCACTCACGCTCCAGGATTCCCAGTACCCAATTACGGAAGGCAAATCCCAGGCTGAGGTCTGATACAGGGGTCTGTGTGCTACAAGATAGTCAGGGAATCATGGCAGGAAGGAGTGTGTTGATCTCTTTTAGACATGTGCTATTCGTTTTGTTCCAAATAAAAAATCAGACAATTTTTCCAAAATTCAGACACATCCGAATTTCGGAATCCCGATGCATCCAAATGTGTCCGAGTCTGAATTTTGGTTTCCGAATTTCAGGTCCTGTGTGAATTTCGTTCAAAAACTATACTGAATCGGACATGTGACTTTTCTGGCCAATCAGATGTGTTTTTCGGTTTCATTCATCCGAATGGGTCTGAGCACGAATTTCCATTATGGCAACATGGGGGCCATATACAGTATGTACATTTAATACTAATGCTGAGGCTCCTAGACCTGAATGGCATTCGGGATCCGAATTTCTGAATTGCATTCGGGAGCTCCCAAATGCCATTCGGGTCTGGGAGCCTCAGCTTTAGTATTATATGTATATGGTTTTCTGTGGTATTCGCAACGAATATTCGTAAACTCATCCGAAACTAACGAAATTCGGATCTCGCCGGAAATCCGATACACGAACCGAATTGAATTTTGGATCATAATGACGAATCCCGGAATAACAAAATATCTGAACCAAACTGAATTTTATTTTTCCGCAGCTTACATGTGCAATCTCTTTACATAACCAAAAATTAGGGCTGGTAATGATTAAAATTTTCGTGTTCGATTAATCGATTACATTTCGATTAATTATAACGCACATACAGATCCAACTACATTGACCTATACACATACAGCACAGCAATGAAGTCATAAAATGAACTAGGATCACACTAATCCAGCGCGTTATTAAACTCACGTGCCCCACTCAATATGGCCGCCGCTTGAGTGGGGCAACTCAGAATAATAACGTGCTGGATTAGTGTGATCCTAGTTCATTTTATTACTTCATTGCTGTGCTGTATGTGTATAGGTCAATGCCGTGGCTGGCGCTCGTGCAGAAAGTTTCTTGGGCAAACTCACCGGCCCAAGTGGCTCCGTCGGCTAACGAAGGGAAGGGGGGAGGAGTCCGGTGACGCCACGGGCATCGACGTCACCGGACTCCTCCCCCTTCCCTTACTTAGCCGCCACGGACATCTACGTCACTGGACTCCTCCCCCTTCCCTTACTTAGCCGCCACGGACATCTACGTCACTGGACTCCTCCCCCTTCCCTTACTTAGCCGCCACGGACATCTACGTCACTGGACTCCTCCCCCTTCCCTTACTTAGCCGCCACGGACATCTACGTCACTGGACTCCTCCCCCTTCCCTTACTTAGCCGCCACGGACATCTACGTCACTGGACTCCTCCCCCCTTCCCTTCGTTAGCCGACGGAGCCACTTCGGAAAGGGGGGAGGAGTCCGGTGACGTCAGTGCCCGTGACGTCACCGGATCGCCGACGGGACTCCCGGAAGCAGGCGGAGAGGTGAGTGTTTTCATTAGCGATCAAAATAGTTTTAATCGATCAAAAAGTTTAACGATTAATCGATAAATTAATCTTTCATTTCCACAGCCCTACCAAAAATGTTTAGTGTTTGTAATAGATGTACAAGCAGTAAATTGCTAATACAGTATATGCACCCTGATAACTGACAGCAATGTGTAGCATGTTTGGTTGACAGGTTCACTTTAGGCACTCAGAAACACCAGGCCTCTTTAAAAGTACATCACTTCAGGGAGCTTTTCCCAAGGCAGCTTTGTTTTTAAAAGATTCCTATTGGGAAATTCTCAATGTAATGTTTGAACAATAATTGCCTTATCAAGTATAATGTATAATGAGATTAATCAATGTCTACTGGGGCTCATTATATATATAAATACAGTTTACTTTGTGTGCATGGTAAATCTTTATTAAGAAGTGAAAGCAAATGTACCACCAGTGAATGCATATTGGACCACCAGAAATATTTTGAACAAGGTCCAGGAGATACAAAGTAGAAGACAATGTTTGGTCAAGGTAAGTTTAAAAGCCAAACACAAATATATGAATACAATCAAGAGACTACAACCTATAGGAGAGCTCCAGAGATATCTCTGCAAAGGGCAGTAGGAGGTAAGTGCAATGTGTTCATTACCATTACCTCCAGCTGTCTTTTCTGGGATCCAGCTTTCATAAACTGTGCAGAGAGTGCAACAATACCATAGGTTCAATTACTTTAGTAAATGTACTTTCTACTCCCTGTCCCAACTAATTTTTGAATGGAAATGGTCCTGGAAAAGTCCATACCTGAGCTAGCCAAACTTCATCCCTCCAAATTTTATCATTCTTCTACCTCTGGGAGTCTTACCTGTGTCTGTCAGTCTTGCAGTGCCTTATAGGATTTGTAGTTTTAGCACAGGCAGAGGGCCGACGTTTTGCTACCCATGGTCTACAGTATTGCCATCTGCAACAACTAATTCCATTAATCAATAGGGTTGATTAGACATGTGCGATTCGTTTCGTTCCGAATCAAAATTTGTACGAATTTTACAAAATTCGGACATTTGGAATTTCCAAATCCCAATGCATCTGAATGTGTCCGAATCTGAATTTCCGTTTCCGAATTTTTGGACCAACAACGAAACTGAATTGGACATGTGACTTTTCTGGCCAATCAGATGTGTTTTTAGGTATAATGCATCCAAATGGTTCTGAATACTAATTTTCATCACAGCAACATGGGGGCCACATACAGTATATGCATATATTACTAAAGCTGCGGCTCCTAGACCAGAATGGCATTCGGGATCCGAATTTCCAAATTGCATTCGGGAGCTCCCGCATGCCATTCGGGTCTGGGAGCCTCAGCTTTAGTAATATATGCATATAGCTCACAGACCCGAATGGCATTTGGGAGCTCCCGAATGCAATTCGGAAATTCGGATACCAATTGCCATTCGGGTCTTGGAGATTCAGCTTTAGTAATATATGTATATGGCTCCAAGACCCGAATGGCGTTCGGGAGCTCTCAATGCACTAATGTGCATTGTGTAAATTTTCTGCATAAATCATTTAATACATATCTGTAAAAAAATAAGTCAAGGCGACTTGACTTGCTGTATTTTTCTTGAAGACGTTTCACTGGACATCCGGCCAGCTTTCTCCATTCAGAATGAATTGTATAAGTCATTCTGAATGGAGAAAGCTGGTCGGATGTCCAGTGAAACGTCTTCAAGAAAAATACAGCAAGTCGCAAGTCCAGTTGCCTTGACTTTTTTTTTTTTTTTTTCCAGAAATACCATGTGACCTGGATGAATGAGAACCTTCACAGTTACTACAGTGATAGCAACATTGATATGCTCATTCTCCCCAGAATTGTAACATTGTATCGCCTTACAAACATGTATTTATTGCCTATAATACTCAGCTTTTTTTTTTTTTTTTTTACAGATATACTATGACCTGGATGAATGAGAACCTTCACAGACACATTTAATACATAATGATTGTACTTTCTCTAAATTATTTGTTCATTGATATTTCCACCTAGGACTTCAAAAATGAGAGGAGGATCATGACTTTCTCAAGCTCTAGAAATGTAGAAATGAATTCCTATGGATCATTCTATTAGGACAAGCTTCAAATACTTGCCAAGAAGCTCCCCAGACATGAACCTACACAATTATTCATTGCACATGGACTTCATCATGGTGGGATTTTCCAATTTCCCCGGCCTCGAAATCTATTTTATTGTGTTTTTTGTTCTCTCTTATATCACCACTTTGATGGCAAACTCATTCCTGATCCTTCTCACATATGTGAGCCCTTCTCTGACGTCACCCATGTACTTTTTCCTGTCTAATCTGGCCTGCCTGGATATCGTATACACTTCCACTACTTCACCCAAACTCATACATATATTTGTTATTGCCAATAGTTCAATAACATTATCGGCATGCATAGCGCAGTATACGCTTTTTGTTGCCTTCACGTCTACGGAGTATTTTCTTCTCACCGTTATGTCATATGATCGCTATGTGGCTGTCTGTAGGCCTTTGCATTATTCGGTTCTCCTAAGCAGGACATTCTGTAGAGCAACTTCTGTGAGTATTTGGATAATTGGATTTATCGCCTCTGCGCCTATTGCTGTTGCAACCTCTCAGAATTGCTACTGTTCCTCCAATGTGATTAATAATTTCTTCTGTGACATTGCCACCTTGCTGGAGCTGTCTTGCACCAGCACAGCCGTTACCCAGAATATCATATTTGTAGAAGGAGTTTTGTTTCTGACAACCTGCTTCCTGCCCACTATAATCTCTTACATCTTCATCATCTCAACTATCGTTAAGATAAAGACTTCAGAAGGGAAACACAAAGCCTTCTCCACCTGTACATCCCACCTGACCACTGTTACTTTGTTCTACTCTGTCATCTTTGTTCTGTATATGACCCCGAGGTTGGCTGTCACCCAAAACCAACGCAAAGTGATGGGTGTCCTCTTTGCCAATGTCATTCCCATGCTGAACCCACTAATATACAGCCTGAGAAACAAAGATGTAAAGGATGCATTGAGGAATATAAGGAAGCACGAGGTATTTAGGCAGTTTATCAGCAGTTAATGATTAGTGATGAGCGGGGAGATTTTACTAAAAACTGCAAAATGAATTTACAAAATTGATTGAATTTTTTAATCTTTTGCTTTTTCTCACCATCTGTTTTTTTTTTCCTTTCTATGAAGAAGAAAATATAAAATAATGAGGTTATTGGTGGTCTCATTTCGACACAAGAGCTGGTCCAGGAGCCATTTAAAGCCCATTACACCCTTCAAAACCACCAAATACCCACATAATTTTACCTTTCCGATGGACTCCTATTCAATTCGTGAAAATGAAAACATTTTAATAATATCTTCAGATTATTACCAAATGTTTTTGGAAAGGAAAACATACAATTGATCTTTTACCTATTAATCACGCTTGATAAAAATGAAGGGGCAGTTATGGCACCCATCACCATGGAGACAATACATGCCAATGGGAGAGGGAGGGCCATCCAATAAAGTGAAGACACCTTTTAAATCAGTGTATAAAGAGTGTATATAGTGTCAGTTAATCATCGGTGACATACTTATTTAGGGCCCATGAAGATGGTGTTTTTATACAACCCCCAAGGTCATCATGAAAACTTGATCTCTTACATCTTACATGAAAACTTCCAATTAAACTTTACCATTTACACTTTACCTTTTTTTGCATAATTAATCCAAATCATACATATATACATTGTCCAACTAAGCATTTCTTTAAATTTTTGCCCGAGCACATGCAGTCATCATGTTTCTGAACAGCTGACTCCAACTCCCTCAGCTCTGCGTCACTGAACTTCCTGTCATTTACAAGATCGCAAGGGGCAGAGCAGTCTCCAGTAGGTGTTCATCTACTAGCTTGAAGAAAGGAGGAAGGAGGAGTGGAGGTAGGGTGCAGGGGAATGGCTTGCCTTGCTGTGCATGTGTTTGTGGGGACATACACAGCTTACTAGCACACACGAGGGTGACTGCAAAGGACCCTGCAGGGGAAAGGAGCCACCCTAAAACAGGTTATCAGGACCAGTGCTCGGGAACACGCTGATTCTGCAGGAAGCTAAAACGTTTAAACATCAAGGAGCAACAGCCATTGTGAGTGATTTCATCAGCATTTGAAATAGCTTAAAAATCTTTTGACTTTAATATAAATTAAATACTAACTAAAGATGTCTCTTTCTAGATAGAGTGGAGAAGAGCTCAAATCCCTTCCTGGTTTTTATTTTCACTTGTAACCACATTGGGGAGATTGTTACTCACTTTCTGTCCCTGTGACACCCATACAAGAAATGGTGTGGTGTCACTCCGATAGAAAGGTTCAGACAGCAAGAAGACTGTGAAAAGTTTTAACCCTTCCTCTCTCTACCAAAATGTGTTGTTTTCATCTGTAATGATTGGGATTCATTTCCTCAGTAGGGACACAGCCAGTAATAAAGAAAACTGAACTGATGTTTAAAATATTTACTGCAAAAATAAAATAAGAAGTTTTGGTTTGGAAGCACCTTTAGATTCCTCATTGTTCATATCTCAATGTGGTGGGCAATTGTAAGTTTGGAAAGGAATATGTTTTAAGGTTCCCAGGAGACTCTTTTATCTAATAGTAGACAGCAGTAGTGGCTTAGTGGTTAGTACTTTTGCTTTGCAGCCTTGGGAGTCCCCACTTCAAATCCCAGTCAGGACACGATCTGCAAGGAGTTTGTATGTTCTCCCTGTGCTTGAGTGGGTTTCCTCCGGGTACTCCGGTTCCTCCCACATTCCAAAGACATGGAAGGTTATTTGGCTCCTGTCTAATTCAACCCTGTGTTATATGTTAGATAGGGACCTTGGATTGTAAGCTCCTTGAGGACAGGTACTGATGTGAAGTGCAGTATGTAAATTGTTAACTCTATAGAAACACCTGTAATAAATAATATTATGCTGTTTCAGCCTTTTGTACTATTTAAGAACTGTAATGTAACAGATGTATTTGGAAGCAAAACTCCACAATTTTCTATAATTCCCAAATTTTCTTGCAACCCTGGCGGCTGTCAGGAGCATGCAGTACAGCCAGAACACCATCAGGTGCCCCTTTGGTTTCTGGGCTGGATAGGGGTAATTCCTGAGTCCACCAGCAGGACGTCTTGTCACCTTTACCCATCCTGACTTGCACCCTCTTGCTGTCCTGCCTTCTCAACTGATCTCACCTTCTCTTCTTCCTTTTACCCTTTTCCTTTGGTAGTATTTTTGTATATAGTTAGGTAGTTAGTTTCTCACTCTGTACATTTGTTACACTGATTTGGTTATTAGTAGTGATGCACCGATATATCGGAGACCGATACATATCGGCCGAAAATAGCTCTTTTGGGGAAATGCCGAAACAACAAAAAATTTGCAGATAATGACCCACCTCCCCTGCCCGAACCACAGTACAAGCTCCAAACACTGCCCACCAATCTGAATCCCTCGCCACCTGCTGTGACTGTGCCCAGACCCCACTCGGACTGACTCTTCTGTGCGAGCGGCGAAAATCCTCCTGTCCTGTACAGTGCAGGTATATCAATATTAATACCCAGGAATAGATGGCCACATTGAAAATGAGGGATGGAGGCAGTGGGGGGTTTAGTGGGGTCGGCACATGGCATAGCTATGAATTCCTTCAGGCCCTCTCCTCTAATCCGCAGTTATTTGCTGTGCTTACGGGAGATGGTGGGGTGTGAGTGGGGTGGTCTTGGGAATGGGGTGATGTGGGGGAGCGGAGTTACCTCCACAGTGCAGCAGACGTCCAGGCTGGAACCAAGTAAATGACAGCTGCCGGCAGCAAGATTATGCTGCCAGGAGCTGATTGTAAGCACAGCAAACATTCAAGGTTGCAACATTCAGCCGGCTATTGCTATTTGAAATAGCCAATGGCAGGCTGGTTATTGCTCCCAACCACTATGGATCAGAGGAGCAGACCTGGTGACACTAGGGGTTTAATATAACCCTACTGTCGCATTGAAGAGAACCTGTCACCTCCAATGTGCTATCACATAGGGGGCTTGCGAGCCCCCTATGTGATAGCACATTGGAGCCAGGTACAAACACTCAGTGATCAGCCAGGTACAAACACTCAGTGATCAGTGAGTGTTTTTAGATAATTGAGGACATGGTATGTGTACTATATCCTCAATTATGAATGAATGGGAGTGATCTACATCTCCTCCTGTTCATTCATAGTTGTAGTTATAGTAAACATACCATGTTATCAATGAACAGGAACACTCAGAGGATTCCTGTTCATTGATAACACGGGGATACAGAAAAAGAGATTGAGGGCTCTGTGTTCTCAATCTCTTTTTCTATTTTAAAAG